TATATAAAGAGAACTACAGATCCTTTCTTGTTCTTACGAATCGTTAAATATTTACTATTTATAATTTCAGTTTTTAATTTTTTTTCTTATTATTTCCTGGTCATAGAGGCGAGTATACACCAAAGCAACTACTATACCATTCATGTGTACCGTTGCACGCAACGAACTCCATGCAAATTGGTAAACATCGAAAGAACAACAGTTGCTGTTAGATATACAGTTGAATGTAGATGTATACTTACAAATATATTAAATGCCCATTTTCTAGTGGAATTACTGAAATTCTTATTATGTAATCAGAAAAATAATGTATTAAATATATTTTTCAGTTTGTGATGGAAGTAATATTACATGTGACGCATGCATATCAAGAGGTTCGCAGGTAATTTGAAAATTAATTTTCTTAAATTGTTTTTGTGTGTGTGTGTGTGTGTGTGTGTGTCTGTCTGTCTGTCTATGTACAGTACATGTATACATGGTTCAAGATTGATCTATAATTTATTTATTTATTATTTATTTATTTATTTTTTTGTTTGTGACCTAATGTTGGGAGATTTGAAATTAAAATGAAATATGATGAATCTGTGAGTAACTGGGAATAAGGTCGAGATCTTACCTCTTTACCGGCAGTGGTTAGGTAATAACCACTCAGAGTCAGTGGATGGTGTGTTTCTTTTTACGCGTTTCCCACGGTTCGGGATCAGCTTGTCAGGTCAAGTGGGAAGGTGAGAGGGGTTGTTGGTAAAATGTAGTTGATACTCAAGTAACGAACACCATAAGTAATTAAGAAAAATCAAAATTTTAATGAATAACTAAATTTAACAACTAACAACAAAATGGTTACACAATTTCAGATACATATAAGAATAATCAGTGGTGTAAACCAGACCGCGAGGGTATTCGAACCATCTAGTTTACTGATAATAGTTCGCCACGCCGAGAGAGAGAGTTTACAAAAGTTTGAGAAATATCCTACCTCTTTCCATCTTCTAGTGACTTCGAGAATCAAGTGGGTTTTAATGAGTGAACCAATGTTGGAGAACTTTCAAGGAGAATCTGCACAACCTAAAAAATTTCTAGGAGACGAGCACAGCTTGGAGATGTTGTTTTGGCATGTGCACAGAGTAAAAATAATTTCAGAGAAACGACCACCTCAAAGAGGGGGGTGTATCAGCCTTATATTTGTTTTGGTCTGGGAAAATGATCATGTGATCAAGTGTTGTTGAAGATAACGGCTGAATTTGCAGGTGTTGGATCAGAGGTGATCCAGGGAGACAGAAAAAGGTGTTGAAATTGAATGTAGAATGTAATCTTTAGTTCGTGCAATGTTAGATTCATCCTGTTTATGCAATGTGAATGTTGACATTCTCATCCCTTTAACTGTAAGTTATCCTTTCTTAGCAGTTGTTGATGAGAAAGGTGACATTCAATACTTTTCCCTTGTGATGTTTTCTTAACAATCATGAAGGGAAATTAGGCTTAAAACTTTTGTAAAATATAGCAAAATCAAGGGCTCAGTCTCACAAATCCATTCCTGGTGGGATGGACAGATGACAGAATGTGGCATTGACATTGCAGCTATAGTATAGAAACAGAACTGTGAGTATGAAACTTACAGGATGGTAGTCAATGTTGAAATATGCAAATGATTACACTTATAATTTAATTGTATGTGCATCATTGTGCAGCAGTGCCTTCCAAATTGTGCATGTTTGGATATAAATAATGGCTCACCAGAGACTACAAGCAGTGACAGGTGAACTTTCAGATTGCACATTGGTTTCTTGTGTCACATTGTGCTCTGTTGCTGACAGAAAATTCATTATGAATAATTAATGGACTTTTGAGTGCAGCAAAATTATTGAGATGCAAGAATCTGGATTATCCAACCTCTAGATAGCCATGCGTATAGTACTAGCTGCCAGTATGGTCATGCTCATGTGTCAGTGGACAGTTGAGGGTCATATTCACCAATATTGTGGATCAGGATTCCAACATTGTAGAACTGAAAGGAAGGTTAGGTACAGTACCTTTACTGCATGGGTATCACAGATTACACCCCTCCATCCACTGTTTTAGTACAGCAGTAGAGCACTATTATAGACCACAGGATGTACACCAGCAGTGTTTGCTGTCTCTTGCAAAGAGGATTGTCTCCTTGCCCATTGTTGCAGCTCCCACTGACTCTAAATCAATTGTGCATCTTATTGCAGTGAGACATCAAATACAGACATTGGCATGCAGAATGGCAACGAGTCATCTTTTCTAATGAGTTTTGCTTCAACTTTGTTAAATCATGATGATTACATACATGTTAGATGACTTTCTAGTGAACGACACCTGGATGTATGTACTATATTTGGCAGCATCACACTGGCCCAATGCTCAGTGTCATGGTTTGGAGTGCCATTGGGTACCATTTGCAATCTTACCTGCTATGAATTGAGAGATCTCTCACTGCCCAGGACACTGTACTGGCAGAAGTACCCTTCCTGCAACGTAGTCCTGGCATGATTAAATTGGATTATTTGTATATGGCAATGTAATATGTGGGCAATCTGCCAAGAGGATGCCTCTCAGGAGGACTTTCTATGGAAAACTGGCCCTTTTTAGATGTTACAAATGAGAAAAAACCTGAAACTCCACATGTCTGTGGAAACTATGGCCAACTATCAGTGTTAAGTGGTGTTATTCACTTGTCCACTGGTGGGCACCTGGCACAATATTTCAGCAGAAAAATGCCTGCCCCCTGCAGATTGTGCAAGCAGTCTTTTGTGAATAGCAGATACTGTTTTTTCCATAGCTTGCATGTTTACCTAATATGTTCCTTATTGAACATGTGGAAGATGCATGTCTGAGGCTGGTCTACCAGGTAATTCCACTAGTCATCATCAATGAATTGTGGACTTGCATTGAAGCAGCCAGGCATCTCCTATCGCAGGAGATCCAGAGCCTTTTCCTGTCCAAGCCATGATATTTAGGGGCTCTTGGGGTGCATGGTGAACTTTACTGCCTACATTGGCTGTTGAGTGCTGAAAAAGTAATGATTTGTACTTTCTGCTATGTGATCTGTACAATGTACTTTCCTTAGTTCCATTATTTCTGAGTGTATCAATTTTCACAAACAGCAGTGTATCATCAAATTTCTCGTCAATGAAAAAGTCAAACCAGCTGACATTCATTATACTCAGCACAGTTTGATGAATTGACCCTATCACACTCTAGTGTCTTTGATTGGTGCAGCAAATTTTCTGAAGGCAGAGAGATGATTACTATCCTTCCCTATGCTCATATGGACCCACTGCAATAAGTGAGAGGAGCTCATACTGGCCAACTGTCACCTGACCAGTATTACAGTTTGCTGCAGGAAAAGGTGCTCATTTCCATTTGCAGAACAAGAACTGGAAAATCACCAAAGGCGTCCAGTTCTTACACAACAACATTTAGCTCCATACTGTGCATCTGACTGTTGCCACATTGACTCAGCTACAGTGTGGGAGGTGCCCAGTCATCTGCCCTACAGTCCTAGGGCTGTATTCTGGTATGATGTAGACACACATCTTTGAGAGGCTGTCTGTCACAAGCTTGTCCCAGATTGACTAAACATTTATTTACATCTAGATCATTACTTCTCTCCAAACACATTTCTGGATGACTCGCTCTTTTGAAAATTCCTTTGTCTTCTAGAGATGAACAGATAGTTGTCTTTTGTCTGTAACCTTTAACCTGTACACAATATTAGGGAATGTTCTATATCTTGGGAAAGAATATTTCGAAATAGAGATAATACTATTTTTAAAGCAGCTACTTTACATTTCACTTGGGAACACCACTGATTCCATCCTTTTTTAATGATTCTATATCAATTATGAATATGTTTTTAATGATATCAAGTATGAATATGTTGTTAATCTTATCCATTACTTTCATCCATCTAATTTCCTCATTAGTTAAGTATGCATTTTTTTTTCCTAACTAACTAAAGTTATTAAAATTTCTGTTTGTTAAGAAACAGTGCTACTGAACATTTTGACATTACAATATGTAAAAACATTATAAAATGAAAACATATTATTGTCAGTCACATGCTTTATTAGAATCTCATATTTTCCTTACCCCACACACTATAATTTTGTACTCTACATTTTCAAAAATTTTACAATTTGATTGGTTAAAATTCTGTACTATGTTGTGCACACAGATAACCCAAATATGTCTAATCAACCTAGTAAAATTATCAACAACAAAGACAAGGTCATTATGAGTGACTAGAACTGCCTCTTGTACAGTATACTTAAAATATATAATTAAATATATCAATGGTGTGGGTTTTCTTTTTTAAAATTTTCAAAATATATTAAAACTTTTAAAGGTTAAAAAGAAAAAAATATATATCAAGGTGTTCAAACGTTAGTATTTATTATAAATATATACAGTTTAACCTGCTTATAACATCATCCATGGGACCGGCAATTTTTTGATGTTATAACCGAGTGTCGTTATCTGCGGGGTCATAATTTCAGTCCCATAAAAGTATCAAGCCTATTTAAGAATCTGTTATAAAATTCATCTAATTTAATATCGTATGTATAAAAGTGCAAACTAAATATTTAAATCAACTTTATTTACATTATTATGTCTAAATTTACAACGATGTAATTAAAAATTTCAAAAATTATTTTTTATAAGAAATTTTTATTTGTCAAGTTTCGATAATGGCGGCACTTTCGGTTTTAACGCCTGGATGATAATTTTCTCGTTTCTTGCTTATCTATCAATGGACATGAAGTCCAATATATTTCACTTTTAGGTTAAATTAATGTATATCAATTAAAAAAAAACAATAAAAATATTCACTTAAAAAAAGTCAGTTATTTTAGATTGTAAACTACAACACGAGTATGAGAGCTATGCAGACTAACCCACTGTCACGTCGTTTAAAGGGGTGGCGCATCTCACCCCATTGAATCAGGTGGTGACAATACCACCCACAATCGTTCTAGGAAGCGGACTCTGACTCTAGGACTGAACACAGTATTTTTTTTGATAAATAAAATTTATAATTTAATTTTGTAAATTTAAAAGTGCTTCAAATATGACGTTAAAACAGGGTTTTATGTCGTTACAAGTGGGTTTTTTAACATTATCTAGTATAGTAAAATTGTGGGACCGATAAAAATTTGACGTTATATTAGGGTTGTCGTTACATCCGATATCGTTATAATCGGGTTAAGATGTATTTATTATTATAAATGTTTGAACAGCTTGGTATTGGCTTTGTCTCTGATTAAATGTGGTTATAGATGTAAAAACCAATGGTTATTTATTTCTTTTTAACCTTTAAAGTTTTAATATATTTTAAAGAACTGCCTTTGTCCCCAG